TAAAGATAATGAAGACGGTGTACGAGACCTTGCCGGCCTGGTCGTTGTCCGCGTTGAGGCCGAGGTTGATGGCGCCGCCGAGGATCTGGCCGCAGAGGCGGTATGTGAGCCAGTAGCCCAGCGCCTTGCCGCGGTTCCAGGGCTCCGGGTAGGCGATGGCGATGGCGGCCTCGGCCATCCAGAAGACGCCGGCGGAGATGCCGCAGAGGGCGGCGCCGAGGAGCATGAGCCATTCGACGCCGTAGCGGTTGTTTGTGTAGAGGCCTGCTGCGAAGGGGGCGTAGCCGATGCTGTTGGATTTGGTAATGTCAGCTTGTGCTTTTCCGACACGCTCTTCCACATTCGTGGCGTTGGGAAGGCGGGCTGAACCTACGTTCCAAAGATGAGGGCGCCCTTGATGCCTATGTAGTGGACTATGACGGAGGAGAAGTAGCAGGACACCACCATGAGGCAGAATGTGAGGGCGTTGGCGGCGTTGACGACCTTTGGCGAGGCGGCGCCGCCTGCGCCGAGGGAGTTCATGGCGCCCCAGATACCTGGGGCCGCGAGGTTGCAGAGGCCGAGGATGGTCATGTTGTAGAACGTCGAGCGGTACCATTTCACTGTTGAATTTTGATGTCAGTCTTCTAGTGGTACTGCAAGCATTATCTTTGCACCGTTGACGAACCTGGATGACGCTCCGATTTGGGAGGGATGACATCGCCCTTTGCTGGGTCGGCGATTTCTGCCATTGTGATAAGATCGAAGGAAACACAAGGCTGGACTGATGAATGAAAGAAGAGAAAGACTATGTCTGGATCTCTACGAAAGCCAAGACCTGAAATGCCGAGTCCTCTATCGCAGGTGGAATCGCAATAGAAACGGGAATCCTTCGTCTTATGGACCAGATCAGAAGAGACAAGAACATGCAGGGATCGTCCAGCTGGATGTCATAGTCAGGCCAACTTCACTGCTCGCCTCTGCTGTCTGAGCCCAATTCCTCACTTCTCCCAAAGTACCATGGTTGCCATTGACACATGCCGGGCCCAGGCTGCAGGGTCCAGACAAACTTTTTTTTTCCTTTCCTCCCATCCTTTGCCTAATACCAAGAGACCCCCGGCAGCATCTGCCAGGCTTACTCCAATTCTCCAATAGCTTAGCGTTTGAAGTGAGTACTCGCTAAGACGACTTTGTGGAAATCTCCGGCGAATTTGGGTTGCGAAATCAACCGGGTACAGCACGCCATTCCGCTGCCGGCGCACGGGTTCCGGAGTACCACCCTCGACGCTCTTGTCAATCAAAGCAATAGAGTCGATAGTCAACACCACCACCACGGTACCGTGTCGAATTCCCCACGCTAGGAGTAAAAGCACGACATTTTGATTCCGAGTCTTTGGGAACGTTTGGCATGTCAAATCGCGCATCCACGTGGGTTGAAGACCTGGTGGCTTCAGATGGGCCGTTTGGCTTATCCTGTTTCTCGGGTTCGTAGTTCGGCATGGCGCCATTGACATTGATGGCTTGGCATCTGATTTCAATCGAATGGTTCGAGACCTTTTCGGTGGTTTGGGACAAAGCACTGTACGATGTCCAAGTACCACAGATTCTTCTGCCAGACTACCTAAGCTCTATCAAGCAAGCAAGCAGCGACGAGTCTACCCAGGACATCCCCATGGCGCAGACTATGCACTCGAGATATCTCTTTCAAGTGATCATGATGGTATTGATTTTGTTGCATTCATCGTAGCGCATGTATCTATGAGCTCCTGCGCAAATCTAAGGAACACTATGCCAACTCTCATGGACATCTTTGACATCCACACTCCCAGCCTTAAGGTAAGGAGTCACGTCGGATTCCGGGTCCAGCTCCCTCTTCGTGCATCCAAGTCCAAAGTACCACAAGAAAGGGTTCTCCGAGTCCCCGACATACTCATACTCAAAGTCCTCCCACCGCGGCTCCCGTTGTACGATCGTCGCCAGTGTGGCAGACCCAGGCCATAAGCCGTGGATCCTTGAACCGGCCTTACCGCTGTTATACCAAGAGCTGCAGTTCTCTGACAACACCGTCGTCGCGAAGAACGCATCAGAGTACTGTGTAAAGTTGTCCGCCGCCCTCTTGGTGGGCTGAATTGTCTTGATCCCCTCGCGGCTCGCCTTACGGAGGATGCGTGCGAAATACGTAATCTGATTCTCGACGTTGTGCGGGACCGTGCCGGAGCGTCCCGACCCGTTGGGGCCGTGGATGAAGAGCAGGTTCGGAAACCCGGGCGTTGCGGAGCCGAAGTATGTATACGGTCCATCGGCGCGCCAGACCTCGCGGAGGTCCTGGCCCTTGGCCGTGATGGGGAATGGAGGCGCCATGTCGACATTCGCGCCTGTAGCGCAGAAGATTGCGTCGACTTCACGGTGTTTGCCGTCTTCCGTCTCGATGCCCGTCTCCGTGATCCGCTGGATACGCGTCTGGATGTACTCCGTCTTGTCGGAAGAAATGGCCTCGAAGTAGCCCGGCCCGGGTGTTAGACGCCGGCAGTGTGGCGAGAAGTCTGGGATGAGTGCGTCGATGAGCTCGGGTTTCTTGGCGAGCCTGTCGTTCATGAACTTGCGGAACTTTTCTCGCGCCTCGTCGTTCTCGCTCGAGCCCTTCAGCCAGCCGGTGAAGTGACGGAAGTATTTGCTCTCTAGCTCCTTGCGGTATTGGAGGTACGCTTCTGGGTCCTTGCGGAAGGTCTCTCTGAGGTTCTCGGGGATGACGATGGGCTCGATGGAGGTCTCGTCGCCCGCAAACGAAGCTGTGACCCACGTCTTATTCCGCGCGTAGTGATCCAGCCGCGAGACAACCTTGTGCAGATTTGATGTGAGCTGAATACCGCTGGCGCCGTTGCCAATCACCGCGACCTTCTTTTCTCTCGGGTCGAAGCTGGGGTCCCAGTTTGAGGCGTGTCTGAGGACTCCCTTGAAGTCCTTGATACCAGGGTAGTCTGGTAGCTTCCAGGCGTTGAAGCGGCCTATGGCTGTGAGGACGAACTCGGCCTCCTCTGTGCGAATTGCGTCTGTCGCGAGGTCGCGAATGGTGATTTGCCAGATTGAGCGTGATTCTACCCAGTTCAGGCCTTCAACTCGTTGTGCGAGATGGAGGTGCTTGTAAACGTCGTATTTCCGCGCCAGGCCCTGCCAGTAGTCGCGGATCTCGGCGCCTTGGGCAAATTCCTCCGTCCATTGTGTGTTGGGGTCAAATGTTGACTGATATACGTGGGCTGGTACGTCGCAACGAACGCCTGGATAGATGTTCTCGAACCACGTGCCGCCCTAAAAATATCGGTATTAGTCGGGGGTTCCTCTATAACGTTCTCAAGATTGATTGGAAACGTACCACGTCGGCGTTCTTCTCGTAAATCGAGAGCTTGATGCCGGGCACCTTTGCTGGTAAGAGGATGCCAGCAAGGACACCCGATAGACCTGCTCCGATCACAGCAACCCTCAGCTCCCGCGGCTCGTCTATGTATCTTTCGATGAGTTTGATCGGGTAATCATCATAGATGGACTTTGGTGGCGTGAGGAGTGAGTCGACGGTGCGGTCAATGAGAGTCTGTTTGTCGAGCCCGTTCTTCAAAGGTGCCTCAATCGGGGCCTTCTTCTGTTCCGCGACTTGTGAGGGCGTTGTGTCAATGTGGTCACCCATGTTTACAGCTCTGATTACTCCGTACTCTGGCGATGATTCAAGCTGAAGGTGTAAGCTACAGGACTCTATGATAGACTCCGCTCACATCTCACAGCAGATAAGATGGGAAAGCCACATTTTGTTAGCCGGCGACTCTGCCCCTCGTCGATCCGGACATCGGAATCACGTCAGACTCGTGCTCGAACGCGTTACACGCACTTGGAGGGAAGACGCTCCGTGGTCTTGAGTATGGTCCAACTCAGGGACCACCTCGCCGTCCTATCAGAGAAGAGCCATTGTTATCTCGCAGCATCAAAGCGAAAGCTTCACAAAAGAAACAGCTCTCCACCCCACCATAGATGCTGGAGCTTCATAACCCCGCTATCCAATGTTGCGGGCGAGTATCCGCACGGCGGATGTTGCTGGAGATGAGGTGCGCGGAGTATGGGGAGCACGCCATCTCCCCACTTTCTTGGGGAATCACAACGAGCACGCCCCCCCCCCCCCCCCCCCCCCCCCCCCCCCCCCCCCCCCCCCCCCCACCCAACCCCCACCTTCACCCCCCCCCCCCCCGCACCGCCCGTGCCCGACCCCCACCCCCCCCCCCTCCCCCCACTTCGTGAGGAACCACGGCGCCCCCCCCCCCCCCCCCCCCCTTCTCATTCCCTCCTCAGATCGGAGCCTCCAACGAAATGCCCTTCATAGGTCCCTTTATCCCGCGATGGAGTCCAACTTGTCGGATCCGCCCTTGGCTCCAGTATTGAAGGTTGCGAAGACTCGTCTCCAATTCTGCAAGTTGATGGGGTGGAGCATGGTTGATGCCGGCCGGTGATGGGGGCATAGTCGACAGGGGTTCGAGTGGTCTATCGAAATCAGGGAGGACGCCTCGCCTTTCCTCTTCGTCGCTTTCACATCGGTCTCACTGTCACATCAATAAGCCCTGAGATGGTGCAATGTTTATCCTAAGCATTTCTGCAACCCGCCAACCTCTTGTCGCATTCTTTCCGCTCTCTGGTCGGGTGGTATGCGGTGCTATTACGCAGTACCTTAGTCTCCGAATTCTCGCGTTGGTAAAACGCCATCGCCAAGTTTCGCTTCTTTGGTTTGTGCTTGCGCAAGAGACATGACTGGCCCCTTGTTTTATGGCTGGAAAAGACGGCGCGGTGCGTGGGTGGTTAGACATGGGAGTAGAAAAATTGTGATGGCAGTAGATAGCTGGGATAATGATATGATAGGTACTAAAGCAAGAGAAATCCTTGAAGTCCACTTCCTGCAGCTGACATATGGGATTACTGCGTCTCGAAATATCCAGATCTTTGTTCTCCCAGCATTCGCACAACAAGGTGACGACGAGATTATCACCATGGTCGTCCAAGCTCGTCGCAAGTGGTGGCACATCCAATGGTACTCCGACACCGATACACCGGAGGAACGCAGATTGATCAACAGACTTGACCTTCTCATTGTTCCGTACGCGGTTCTGAGCTACTGGGTCAAGTACATTGATCAATCGAACCTGAACAATGCCTACGTTGCCGGCCTGAAGGAAGACCTCGGATTCAAGGGCAATGAACTCGTCCAACTGCAGACGTTTTACATCATCGGAGCTGTCACTGGGCAGCTGCCGATGATGTTTGTCCTGACATACATCCCGATCCATTGGCTCATTCCCTTTTTGGACATTGCCTGGGGCGTCTTTACACTCCTCCAGTTCCGCGTTACTGGATTTGCTGAGTTGGCTGCATACCGCTTCCTAGTCGGCTGGTTTGAGGCTGCCTTCTTCCCGGTTATGCACTATCTTTTTGGTGAGTCTCTTCATTTTCTTCCATTTGAAAGCTTACTAATGAAACTCTTGAAGGCTCCTGGTATCGTGGAGATGAGATCGCGAGACGTGGCGGCATCTTCTATGTCGGTCTTTCACTTGGCACACTCACTGCGGGTCTGATCCAAGCTGGCGCCTCTGCACGACTCGACGGAGTGCATGGACTCGCTGGCTGGAGATGGATGTACATCATCTGCTCTCTCATCACCATTCCCATCGGCATCTTGGGCTACTTCGTCATCCCGGGCACCCCTGAACAGCCCAACCGACTCGTTCTCAAGAGAGAAAACATCGAATTGAGCGTGGAGAGACTGAAGCGCGCAGGTCACTCATCTCACGGAAAATTCAAGTTCAGCAACTTGAAGAAAGTCTTTTTCTCGTGGCAATTCTGGGGAATCATTGTTGTGGACGTTCTCTTCTGGAATGCAGGTATTCACACCTCGTCGGGTAGCTTCTTGCTCTGGATCAAGAGTCTCGGTCGTTATTCGGCAGCCAAGGTGAACGAACTCGGCACGATTGCGCCTGCTCTCGGCATCTTCTACACTTTGTTCGTCTGTTTCGCATCGGATCTCGTCATGGGGCCGGCCTGGGCAATCACGATGTCAAGTGCTTGGAACGCCCTGGGGCTTCTCATCTTGACTATTTGGAACGTCCCGGAGCCTGCCAAATGGTTCGCATTCTCCACCATCTACTCTTCAGTTGCACTGTCGAGTGTGTTTCATGGGTGGGTGAATACACAATTGCGGTCTTCACCAGCAGAAAGATCCTTCACACTCGTCCTCATCAACGCTATCTCTCAGTCGTCTACGGCATGGACCCCGCTCTTGGTCTTTCCCACAGTCGAGGCACCTCGGTACCCCAAGGGCTTTGCGTTTACCCTGGCCTGTGCCATTCTTCTCATCGTCGCAACTCACATTTTGCGTATGTACGTCAAGCGCAGAGAGTAAGTAAATCCAATCCTTCACAAGCAGTCAGGATCATTCGCGCTGACTCCCTGCCTAATAGTCCTCAACTCGAGAATTCTAGCGGGTTTCCTGAAAGTGATCATGAAGACATCTCAACCATGGAACACGGCAAGCAACCACCAGTTGCAGTGAGTGGAAGAGATGACAGAAGCGACTGAAGGGAGATTTTGGAATTCGGCCGGATGATCATAGGTGCCCACACAAAGTCGATCGTTCCGCTGAAAAAACTAGACACATCGTTAGTGTATTAGTGATTTATTGAGACTGTTCAAACTTCAAGCTCATGAGGTACATAGTAATAATCAAAGACTCCCTCATATCTATTAGATTATCATCTAAGTTAGTATCGTGAATCATGGCCTTCTCAGAAAAGCCCCGCCTCGCACATTGCTCCATTGAAGCAATGCAATATGACCCAAGTAGATAATGACTTTCCACGATTGAGATGAGCGATTGAGATATCGAGGACAGACTGTATACCATCCTCAACGTTCATCTTAAGATCGAGACATGTTGAATCTGACATGCTTAGCATATTTCCTCAAACACCCATGTGGTCCTAGTCGTGTATAGCGGAGCCCGACCGTGAAAGCCCCTAGTAGAACACTTTCTGACGTTCAAGAACGGAAATCCGAAATTTTCATTAGCAAGTATAGCGTGGTTATCACGGCCTTGTTCAACATCGTAGCATCGGGATTAGTTGCGACCCGCTGCGGAGATGCGCCTCCTGAACTACCGGCAATACCATGATTGAGGCAATCGTCGGCTCAACAACCAGTTATCATAAGTCGTTTTTTGCCGACCCGACGCCACCTGAGTCCAAAGGGTCCAGACGGCCGGCGTTGGTCTCCGAAACGTAATGAAGTCTTCCGACTCAAGAGACGGGTGATGGCACCATCCGCACCCGCGATCACGCCAGCGTTTCTGCCCTGCACCGGCGGCGTTGAATTGGGGTCAACGTGCAGATAACATCCCGCGCCAGTCCCACGCGACGGGCGACAACGGCGATGACGACATGGGGAATGGACAACTTCCTTGCATCACGATCCTGCGCCAAGTTGAAGAGATTCGTGATGAATATGGGTTGATAAACAGAGGCAAGCCCGCGGGCTGTTTTGGAGCTGCAAGTGAAAGCCCGAGCTTGAGCATACTCTTCACCAAAAATTCGAAATGACTTCGGTACCGATCCACATAACCAATGGCGAAAATGGCGTCAGACCAGAGGGGAAGAAGCAGATTTTGCTCAATGCATTTGACATGTCTACTGTTGGGCACTTGTCTCCTGGACAATGGAAGGTCAGTATCCTCTATAAGATCTTATCGTGTGGACGATTTGCTGAGTCTCGCTGTTTCAGAACCCCGCCGACAAGTCAGCAACTAAACGCGACCTTAACTACTGGATCGACCTCGCGAAGCTCTTAGAACGAGGCGGCATCAACGCCCTCTTCCTTGCCGACACCTATGGAGGTTACGATACCTACGAAGGAAGCCTTGACAACTGCATTCGCCGAGCGGCTCAATGGCCAATGACAGATCCTACTATTGTAAGAGCACGCTTTAAGCACAAGAGTTAAACGGCCGCTTATAACGGGAACATAGCCGATCAGTGCCATGGCCGCTGTCACGAAGAACCTCACATTCGCCATCACCGCATCCACATCATTTGAGCCGCCCTTCCTTCTCGCCAAGCGGTTTTCCACACTCGACCATTTTACAAGGGGCCGCATTGGATGGAACATTGTCACTTCTTGGAAGAAAGCAGCATTCAAGGCGATTGGCTTAGACAGCCCAATTCCCCATGACGAGCGGTATGCTCAGGCAGACGAGTATCTGCGGGTTCTTTACAAGTAAGCCTTTGTCGAAGAATACTTCGAAACACCGTTCTCAAACAGCATGCATATACATGTAGATACTAATTAATCAAAAGGCTTTGGGAAGGCTCATGGGCAGATGACGCGATTACCCCTGATCCGGAGAACGACAGCTATGCCGACCCCGATAAGATCCGGACGATTCACCACCACGGAAAGTTCTTCGACCTCGATACACGCCACATCGTCGATCCTTCACCCCAAAGAACCCCCTTCCTTTTCCAAGCAGGCACATCAGCGGCTGGATCAGAATTCGCGGCAACACATGCCGAGGGTATCTTCGTCTCCTCGCATTCCCCAAAGCTTCTACGCCCAAAGGTCAAAGAGATCAGAGAAAAGGCTGCAGCCCTAGGCAGAGACCCTCAGTCCGTCAAGTTCTTTGCAACTTTCACTCCGATTGTGGGACGGACCGACGAAGAGGCCCAGGCTAAGCACGAGGAGCTGAAGAAGTATGCTTCCGTCATTGGAGGATTGGTCCTCGTCAGCGGCTGGACGGGCATCGATCTGTCCAAGATCCCTGTGGACCAGGAGGTTACTGCCGCGGACTCTCTAGAGGCGCACAAGGTGCGCAGTATTCTCGATGCCTTCACAACGACCAGTGAGCATGTCCCCAAGTGGACACCTCGTGTCATTGCCGAACGAGCGGCGATTGGCGGGCTCGGACCGGTGTCTGTTGGAAGCCCTCAAAAGGTAGCGGATGACTTGGAGTACTGGATTCGTGAAGGTGACTTGGATGGTTTCAACTTGGGATATGTCACGACGCCAGGCACGTTCGAGGATGTCGTCGATCTTCTTATCCCAGAGCTTCGGCGGCGTGGAATCTATCCAGAGGCACCTGCCGACGACGTTGCTTTTACGGCCAGAGAGAAGGTCTACGGGCAGGGGCAGAAGGGATTGAGGGCTGATCACCCTGGCTCGTCTTACAAGTATGATGTATACAAGGAGGAAGGCGCAAGTTCGAAGCTTGCAGACTAAGATACACGTATAATTGAGAACCGATTCCATTCGTTACCTCAATCAGATGTGGAATCTCTCTTAAGGACCATCGTACGGCGAGATGAGCTGTCAGAGTATGTTGTTCCTCGAGACAAAGGCGGCTTTTCTCGAAAACCAGTTGTTCACCATATACCTAAAGTCCGATCTCAATCAAGCCACTGCTTTCCCCAACATCGCAGTTTGCGATATATGTGACCACTGGCATGCATCGTGAACATGTTATTGAGATACAGAGCCAGCACGAAGAGCTGCTCCTGCACCTAATCACCACTCCGTCTTGATCGTTAGACACGTATCATCGAGCTACATCCCTTCGCCGATGCCTATTTACCTCTTCATCGTGATAGTCACTACGTCGGCATCAATGGTTTAGGCTCGAACTAAGCTGTTTTCTACAATTAGTTTCAATACCCGCGTAAACTGTACTTCCAGGTTGTGAACCAACCCATAGGGTGTGCCAGCAGCTGCCGCGCCGAAGCAGTTGTAATCATCCGCACCATACGGAATGGGGCACGACGGTTATTAGTATAGCGTAAGGATGTTCCACAATGCTGCGTGATCTATCAGAAATACTGAAGGCTTAAGGTGGGTAATTAGAAGGCTGGGCCGCAGTACTACGTAAGTCCTGAACACCCTCTTTAGAGTGCGCCGGCTGGTCAAAGCTAGCGTCTTTTTAACACGATTTCCAGCGGAAATACGCACGGGCCGATTCATTCAGCACTTTGCGATGATCCTGATCCGACAATGGGGCCCCCAGTTTAGATGCCAGAGAGTTGATTGAAACCAATATTGATCATTAAACATCACGTCTACACACCTCAATTGTTCGCAAGTTAAACGAGGGCTGCATGATGGTCTCGAAATGCCGGTCTCACAATTGACTTGAAGAAGTCTTTTAAGAACTGTGATCTACATTGTGTTGGTTTCAGCACAGGTTGATGTCAATGATCTGTTGGGTTGGCCTCTAAGAGGACGTGCTAGGATCCTGTTGGCCCCTCGAGATAAACGTTTGAACTCAAGTGCGATGCAAGACAATCAGACTACAAAACCTGTCTAGGCGGCGGCACAAATCTTTCGACGTGACTGATTAGGCATTGCTCAAGAGAGTCTTTGGCGATGGAAGGAAGGACGCGGTGTCATTGCCTGAACTCTGCGTATTGTTATTCCAAAAACATTGATGTTGGAACAGTGTAATTCCTTCTTAGTGGACACTTCAATAGTTCTATAAGAGTCAACAGCGGACAAGTCAAATAAATTTACTGAACTTCAATTAGTTCAGTCAATTCGTGGCCAGATAGACTGCTTCTGTCTTTTGTGTGGGGACTAAGGCATTCAAGAACGAATTATGCCCTACAATCAAGAGACGTGAATTCCTCTTTTCAAGCTCATAGAGAGAATATTTTCTTCATCTATCCACCGACAGGGGAGTGCTGGACACTCAAAAAGAACTGCTATGACCGCGGCAGGGTTCGAACCTGCGACCTTCTCGGATCAAGCTCACTTTGTTGTGAACGAGAAATCATGACCACTAGAACACACAGCCGGTGTTGTTGAGCTCTGGAGCGTTTGCGCTTGGCCAAGTGGACTGCATCGTGGTGCTGCCAGTGTGGAGGAGTTTAAGCGAAATGAGTATGGGGTTGTCGGCACTTTGATGTGACATGCTAGTCCCAATGGCTGGAACAGCAACGAAGTCTTCAATTGTCCGAAATTCGTGTTCCTGTCCGCGGCCACCGCGTCATTCCTCACACACATGATCGATCTGAGAGATATGCAAAGACGCTAGTGCGTTGTATGCCGAGAGGGGAGTTGACATTGAGTTGAACCGCTTAATACTTGCCGTTTCTATTATTCGCATCTCAGGGGAACATTGACAAGAATCTCGGCGCAGCGGACGGGACGGCACTTTAGCGCCACCCACCCGCCAGCCCTTCGCTAAACCCCTTTATTTCTCCAGTTAAAGACTCTAGTTCTTTTGGTGCCGAGGCGGCTCACGGAATTCCCACCAGTTAACTCTGCCTTGCTACGAGCCGGGAGCTTCTGCGAATTTGGTGTGTCACATCGACAAGCGGCATTCTCGGATACGAAAACACGAATGCCCAGCATGGCCCGATAGTGGTGATGGGTATCTCGAAGGTGGCCAGTGTTGCCCTTGTCTTGTTCTGTGGATGCGCTCATGTCGGCAGCTGGGCCCCTTTGCCGTTTATGGCTGCCCTGAACCGGGGGGTTGCTGCCCGCTGCGTGCCACCCTTGGCGAGCGATCTGAATCCTGGGAATCTGGGGAGAGCACCGTTGAGTCGGGCTCGGCCTGATCTTGGGTCGAATGCCTCTTGGCGCTGCGCTTTTTGGAGCATTCGGGTGTTCATGACACATGACCGTGCATGTTCATTTGCATATGAAAAGTTAGCTGTGATTGATAGCGATTTGCGAGGGAACCATTGTGGTACGATACACCTCTACTGAGCTGGACTTTTTCGAGTCCGCAGGGAGAGTACGGGAACAAGCCTTTCGAGGCGTTTGTGCACCCCATCAGAAACAATCTGTCAAATGTGTCACTCTGACGCAACCTTTCTTGTCAATCATCCAAATAGGGCCTCGAATACCGCGAGACAAAAGCAATGCATGCGCCGCATTTTACATAAAGTGATACTGCAGGTGGCAATGTCTATCCAGCACACGGGGGCGGCTTCACATATATACCATGGTGGAGTTGTTGGTCATGGAAGACGGCTATAACGGCTGTATTTTATGCTTAGGAAGCACGGATACGATTGAGGAACAGCGACCATGTGGTGAAAAGAACCGTAAATGACGGCAGCAATCAACTATTGACGAGGCCGAGCCTCGGAATGGCCCGAGGGAGCCACGGAGGCCACTGCGTTGTCAATATTTCCAAATGCCCCTGGGAGTGGGAATCAATGGATTTCGGCTTTCCAATATGCTCATTGGGGCCATGATCAATGGTGAACCTAAACCGGCGAACACGAGTCAAAACTTCATTTCCAACGCTTGCTGGCCTTCTGCTTTGGGGATACGGATAGTGAGCCAGGGATAAGGGGGCTTTCACAAGTTCTCCTTTTAGCCTCTCCAGGCCACACCTCCCTGAACCATACAATCTATTTACCTGAAGGCAAAAGGTGACGAGCAGATTAAACCTGCCCACATGGCCCATTGGTGGAGTCACTTTTTGGAGCACCTCGTGGCCACAGCGTTTACGCGCTTGGTTGCTTCGGTAGACAAAGTGATCAAGTTGAAACCGCCCCTGATTGTCCACCGTAACCATCCCCCTCCGGTGGACACCCACTTAGCCGCAACAAGCTTTCCGTCCGATGCTTAGCTCCGGCATCCCGGTCTTGTAGCTACGGCCGCGGGCGAAGAACCTCACCCGATGTGCTGTGTTCTGGGCCGCACACTAATGTTCCATTCGGCATTCTACGCCGTAATTGGAGGGACTTGTGTGTTTTCTGGAAAGAAAAAAAGTCTCTCTGACGGTTGATGTAGTATCATGTAGTAGGTATATCAAAGGGCAACCCGCCCGCTTGGGAACCTATTCTTGGCAGCCCTACTGTTCATCATAACAACTTACATTCTCTTCTTGTCCATTACCTTTGCAGTAACCATTCGTTCATTCCAGTCATTCTTTCAAAGTTGAAGCTAGTCCCAATTCCCACCATGCAGTTCACCTCCTACCTCGTCTCGGCCATGCTGGCCGTCACGGCCGTGGCCTCCCCCACGCCCGTCAGCATCGACAAGCGTGCCACCAAGATGTGCGACGCCTTCGGCTCCGTCGCCACCGGCGGCTTCACCATCTACCACAACAACTGGGGTGCGGCCCAGGCTACCTCCGGCAGCCAGTGCACCACCTTCGAGTCCCTCAAGTCCGGCTCCGTCGCTTGGTCGACCTCCTGGACCTGGGCTGGTGGTCAGGGACAGGTGAAGTCCTACTCCAACGTTGCCCTCGAGAAGGTCAACAAGCAGCTCTCCGCTGTCAAGTCCATCCCCTCCAAGTGGACCTGGAGGTTAGTCAATACCGGTTGAAAGACGAGTCAGTCTGGACATTTGCTAACTCTTTACCAACAGCTACACCGGCTCCAACATCGTTGCCGATGTCGCCTACGATCTCTGGCTCGCCCCCTCCGTTGGTGCCAACAACAAGTACGAAATCATGATCTGGCTCGGCGCCCTCGGCGGTGCTGGCCCCATCTCAAGCACTGGCAAGACCATCGACACTCCCACCATTGCCGGCACCAAGTGGTCCCTCTACTCTGGTGAGTAAAGCATTACACCACAAACTCAATGACAACTCTCTAACGTGACTTCTCAGGCCCCAACGGTGACACCACTGTCTACTCTTTCGTCGCCCCCAGCCAGATCAAGAGCTTCAACGGCGACTTGAACCTCTTCTTCACCTACCTCACCTCCAAGCAGGGCGTTGCCAAGACCAACGTCATCACCAGCCTCCAGGCCGGCACCGAGCCCTTCTCCGGCACCAACGCCGTCTTCAAGACCTCCGCCTACACCCTCACCGTTCAGTAAATGCTTGTTACAGCCATGCTGAACAACGCTGTGCGGACCCAATACCCAATCTGAACTGTGTTCAGGTTCACATTTCGACACGTATATATTGTCGCACTTTGTACATACACGTAATTACGTTCAAGAATACCAACGATGGATTCATGACGGAGCTATTGTTCTCGCCTTCATCGCCTATGAACAAGTGACACGCCGTATCCTGGTGCATACTTGCAATGAGTGTTTTAAGTTGAGTTGAATTATTTATGCACGCTTGCTTGCGCATTCATCTATGGGAAATTGAGCGGCGAAGCCATCTATAAACGCTGTCAACCATGGTGGTACAGTAACCGTGCTCTTCGTCGAACTCAACGTCCACGGCTTTGTCTTGGTACATGTAGATTCAATCCCTCATCGTCATGTCGCTTGCCCATTTTGCCCCAAGTCCAATGAGTCCCAGTTGAACTGATCGATGTTGATACCTCGCATGTCCGGCACGATAATATTTGTGTATAGACCATTGTCTGTTGGCGAAAAGGTGCCCTGATCGTAAGTGAGACTCTGGCTAACGATATCCATCGGAAAAGGTGCACTAAAGTCATAGGGGTTCATATTCATCGCTTCAGCCTTGGGCCCGGTATCGGAAGACTGTGGACTCAGAGCCGGTGTCACTTCCGACAGCTTTTCCTGTACTTTGGCCACAATTCTCGGCGGGACCACCGGCTGCCCTGAGTTCCTGAGTGCCGCTGCGACCACTTCCCAGGTGCGTACAATGACCTCGGTGAAAGGGACAAAGACAGGATTATACCCCGGCTCAAGTTGTTCGAACCGAGCCTCAAAGTGATCACTCATGGCGTTCCAGATATACTCGCCTTTCGGATCCAGAGGGTTCAGTTTGAGAAACTGTGTGATGCGGATGTAGGCAGGGAAAGGGTAGTATATCTGGAGAAACCACCTGAATCTCTGGATCAGCGGCGAGGCCGCCAGCTTCGCATCGCACTGAAGCCACCTTAAGGCACTTGATAACGTGATTCTGTGCTTCTCCTCAACCGGACCCTCGTAGAAGCTGTGAGATGTCTCCATGAGGCGAAATTTCGAGAGGGATGCGCGTGACATCCACAAGGCCATGAAATGAGTCGGGTTCTCGAGATCACAATACCGGAAGTACTTGTCTTCTACCGACTTCTCCAACCAATCCACCTTGCCGCCACCTGGAAGTTCCTTAGCGATGGGCTTGAGAATCGGATTCGTCATGTCGAGGTAGAACGCAGTGTGCCGGGTGAAATCGGCGAGCTCAGCCGTCACCACCGAGAAAAGTGCCTCACTGACTTTCATCTCCGCCCTCGGTGGTTCTTTCATTTCTGCTCGTAGGTCAGAGTCACTAACGTTCAGCGGCACGGCGCAGTCCCATGTCGGGGTCAAGTTGGTCGCCTTGTGCTCGGTCAGACCGCTCATGCGGGCGTCGAACAGCACCAAGGACCACCAGAGCCTCCGACGCATCTCGGCTTCTAGGACGGTGCACCTGGTGTTGGCGGATTCGTGCTGGAGACCGATACGTTGGCCGATGCGGATCGCAACGCCAAGGAGGGATGATATTGATCGGATGTGAGCACTAGGGCGGCTCGCATGCTGTCAAAAGTTAGGCAATGTGATCCTCTCGATCTCATACTGTAGGCCCTTAGCCAGTCAAGGTACGTACTAGATATAGAAATAACGCAGTCAGGCAGTCAATGTCATTTGTTCTCAAGAACTGACTGTTTGAGAGAGCTTGCTGACATCCAAATTGGTACTTGGTCAAGAGAAGGGCTCTCGGCTGCTTGAAAGTTTCGTAACATGCATCCTCGGAAAGACTCAAGATGGCCATAGAGTATATGCTGAACATGAGAGCCTCCAATGCGGGACTCATGTTTTCGACGCTGCTCACGGCTTCAATGATGCGCGCTTGAAAACTGGGGGCGTGAGTCACTCGAAGCAGCGCATTCACATTGTCGAGGTAAATCTGCCATAATCGAAAGATGTGAACGGGCTCAGGATGGAGCGTTGAGAGGTCGACGGATGATCGGTCTGGGGATCCGAAGAGAATATGGTCATCGCTATCGCAGGCTTGATCCCACGTTTGCCTGATAGTCTCTCGCAAACCAGCATGCGAGTCGTCGAGCTATGCGATGTCAGTCACGGAGATTGAGGGTGAGTTGAGTACAGATACTGCACCTCTGGGCTCACCAAATGCCAAAAGTTCCTGCACAAAGTTAGCGACACTGGTATCTTACGTCCGACTAAGCCAAATAGACAGTAAAAGCGCGTGCAGGAAACCCTCGATCGGTTTCGCAGAGTGGTGACTCACTTAGGCTCATATGATGTTTCAGATTTCACAGTGACTGATGGTGAAGGCATTCCCACACCTTCGGATCGGTGCTCATCGTCCGACCCGCCACTGTCATCGACAGACTTCCCATACCTGGCCCCTAGGTCACCGTGGAGTGGCTCAAAATCAACCTTATTCTGTCGTAGTAGGCCCTCATACTTTCTCAAGCGATCGAGAAGCTCCCTCTCCGGGAATCGCCGTCTCCGTGGCCGGTTCTGTGTCGCAGGCACGCACTGCAGCTGATGTTTTGTGCAATGCGAACAGGGGAACTTGCGGTCGCACTTGATCTTGCGCTGCTGGCAGAGGACACAGGCGAGGACGCGCTGGGGTTTTGCTCGAGGAGCGGTGTCCGATTTGCTGCTTGCTATCCCGGGAGCCGACATGGTTGCAATGTCGGACGGTGTCGTGCCAAGGCCGATGCCGTGAAGAGGGGAGCTGAGTAGGTTTCGGACAGTTGTGACGACCGGGGACCGATGATGTCGGGCGGAGGTGGGCAAGGTGGGCTCTGCCCCAGGCACGGGTCAAGCTGACGACGGGATCTCAAGCGTGGCTTTTTGGTGCTCCGCACCACGGCGTAATCCGGACTTTAGAATGGGCCGACTAACAATTTCGGGGAGAGTAAGCCCGGGCAGAATCAATGGCGTAGTCAAGCGTGAGACACTGCTGGAAGAGAGGGGCCAGACAACAGGCGCCTTATTTTCATGATTACAAGTAAGATTTTTATTATTGACGTTTCTATGTCCTCAAGGCAACTCCAAGTCTATTGTTGGAAGGTCACGAAAAGTAAACGTTGGCATCTAATATTATCGCCAGGACAAAACGAAAAGGGTCTACATAATAGGCGAATGAGACATCGGGAAGTCGGACTTGATGCGTTCGTGCAAATCTGTGCCTCATAACTCACTTCTTTCCCTGGTATCCCGCTGTGCGATTTAGAAGTCGTTCTCCTGGAAAGCCTTCACCAAAGCGGCCGGTCCAGTCTCATGCGACATCAGATTCCCAAGCTGTATGCCGTCTTCGATGTGAGCTTTGCCCCGCACCAAGAGGTCCTTCTCATATTCGCGAACCGCATCATCCAGCTTGTCGAGGCCATAGGTCTCAATGCTTTTAGCCAGTTCCATCGCATCCCACATAGCACAGTTGACACCTTCACCGTTGGGGAGTGCCAAGTGAGCTGCATCCCCAGCCAGGGCCAGACCTGGCACCGTCGCCCATTTCTGACTTTCAACAGGGAGGTGATACAACGGCCAACTCCGAAAGTGGTCGGCTCGTCGGATGTAGTCTTTCGGCTCCTCCGCCCAGTCGCTGTAGAAGTCGGATAGCAGTGACTTTCGCAAAGCATCAACGCTTGCTGAGTCGAGCTCTCTACCAACGTAGTGCTCAGGAGCTTGTATCCCGAAGTACACCCTGTACCATCCGTTCCCCTGCCGCTGTACGATCATTTGGCTTGCTCCCGCCAGTAAAGATGCAGTTCCATGCCCAAATTTGTCCAAGACTGACTTGAACAGCGGGTTTTCTTCCGTGATTTGGGCTTCCACGTATGTTCTCCCGGAGTACTCAGGCTTCGCTTGTGTAATCTATTAGATCATCGTCAGTTACCGAGCATCAATTGAGAGTGAGATCATTGTGCCATACCATCGAGCGAACCTTGCTCCAAGCACCGTCAGTGCCAACCACAAGCTTAAACCCTTCCGCAGTGGCACCGGAGGTGAACTCGATGGCCGGCGAGCCAGCCTTATGCATTTTAACAGCTTTTAAGGTGCTTCCCCATCGGATCTTCTCTTGCGGTACGGAGTCCAGAAGGATTTGTCGCAACGCTTTGCGATCTATCTCTGGCCGTCCCGCTTCATCAACTCCGCCATTGCTTTTGATGTCGAGATGTTGCTTTCCAAATTTGTCGTATACCGTGAATCTGTCGTCTTCCCATCTGGCTTCTTTGCGAAACGCATCCCACAGACCCGCCTTCCGAAGCGCCGCTTGACCAGTCGCCTCGTGAATATCCAACGAGCCACCGGCGTTGGCTGATGCAGCGCTCTCATCTCGTTCGTAGATTACGTAGTCGACCTTTTGACGCTCGAGTAGTCGGGCTAGTGTGAGACCGCATGGTCCAGCACCAATGATGGCGATTGGGGCTGTCTTGGTTGACATTGAAGCTTTGAAAACTTTGCTTGCCATATTGCTCGATTGGAGCGTTGTGTGATTGGAGTGCAGTTCTTGGGCATTGAAGGCTGCTACACTCAATGATGTGAATTTCGTCTCTTGGTCCTTTTGTACTTGATTGTGCGATGGGAATGGCGAGTCTTTCACCACAAGGTACGGAAGCGGTACGCCAGCGGCACGGGTTTTAGCAGCTTATGTAGATGTACTAGGCTGGTTCCGGGGACTCCCAATCCCCGAATCGTGGTTTTCGCGGAGAGTACTAGACACCGTCCTTGTAGTCCGTGACGATTGTAGCGGCATATGGAAAGAACCACAATTGAAGTGACCGTTGATGCCGGCGCGGACAGGCCGCTGTCATGAATCACTAAAATATCGACTCGCTCTCGAATGACCTCCACTAGTTGTCATGCACAGGTGCAAGTATGGTCTGGAAGCTGCAGACTAGTTGATAAGATAGAGTGAATTTCAAATAGCTCCTTCGAGATACTTGGTGGGG